CATTTATGCAGGCACCTCATTTTAGTGGGGATCGGCCTCACTATCACCTCTTGTTTCATAATCATAATAACGCCTTGTGATAAATCAGCATCACAGCCGAGAGACTGAGAAAGCGAAGAGATCTGGATAGAAGATTAGCTCGAGTTTCAAGGAGCTCTGACTACTGAGAGAATAAATTTGGAACCTAGCAAACTAGTGAAAAGAAGAAAATTCTACACTAAATCAATAATTTTTTAAAAAGACACTTCGAGGGAAGACACTCTTGAACCAAGAATCAAAAGATAAGAGCTCTATTCAGAGACTGACTCACTGGCTCTGACCACTTAATCTCGCTTCGCTTTGGTTTCTTCACTGAGAGCCAAGAGGAAAATAACACGGTAGAATCCATCACACATCCATGTCATCCTACGACATCTGATGAATTCTGAATCATACCCCCACAAAACCACGACTTCATGAAGCTGAACACCAGCAAACACAAAATGGTCCTGATCCTTTTAACGCTGATGTGAGCTACATCGGTTCCCTATCTCTTAGTTCTCATTATAAAGTAAATATAGTGAAAACAGAGTACATTATTTGATAAGTGTAGGTTCTCAATTTAGTGTTAAACCAATATGTTTGTGTACTTAAAGTTCCCTGAACACTCTGATAGCAATTCTTATACACACATATTATCACCACCACTAGTCACTTAGAACTTTTGATTTGTACTCAAAGAAAGCAATTACCATGATTATCAATCCTAACTTTCTTTCTGCTTAATTCTCCTATAATTATTAAGGATATATAAGCTCAAGGAATGCAGTCAGGTTTATAAGGGATTATTTTTCAACATAGTTGAATGAAAAGAAATCATCTCTGTCTTATATGACTCAACCAATATTTAACCTATTTGCCAAAGAAATCATCAAATAAACAAGCAGTCCAAAAGAAACAATAGGTAAAGAAACTCTCCAAGTAGCTTCAAACATGGAAGTGATTTTTTTGTCCTGAAGGGCATACAATTCTCCAGAGGGTCCCAGGAAGAGGGTCATGGGGCTATTTCCCCAGCACCCGGGGCACGTTCTTATCTCCAGACTCACAAAAATAGCCTGGGTTTCTTAGCTACTCAACAATTTTGCTAACAGGCTGAATTCATCTTCTAGATACATTTGTATTTCCAGATTTACGTTTAGGTACAAATAAGATTTTCAAGGTCAAAATAGTACTTCAAAAGGAAGCATAAAGTTAACTTTATAGCTTATTCCTCTCTGAATTACGACTTTCGTCTTCTAATGTTCTGCTAGTTCAAACATCACGCCATATTAATGCTTTAATATGTACACTTCTGTAACACTGTATACATTAATATATTTCTAAGGCTGTCTTGATCATATTTTAAAACTCTTTGATCATGCTTTCAATTCAATTAAACAAATATTTATAAGCTAAGATGTGTGGGCTACCATATCTTAAAGAAAAGTTATAGTCTTGCCTTCCTTCTACCCCCAAATCTAGCCCATTAAGGCATCTATTAAACAAGAATTGATGGAAAAGTGGGTTATTTATCACCCAGGAAAGTCCTCCTGACCCTGAAACTTTTCCAATCCTATTCTGAATGATGGGTACCAATTCTTTATTTCCCTTTATCAATTTTATGAATCTAGACACATCTGACTGGACTGAGAATAATCTTTTAAAACACAACCCATTATTTTCCAAGATTAGAGACCCAGTAGCTTACAAAAGAATCCATTAAAAATGTATGCAATACTCCTTCTTGATTATTCTAGGATTGTCAAAATTACCTATGCAAGGCTACATGTTCCACTAAGAACCACTGTAATATTCTTCATTATTTTACAGAAAAATCTTTGATGAACAACACAGGCCAGGCTCAATCTCTGACTTTATTTCAGCTACGTCAAGTCCATATGGATTCTACTTATTCTCATCCAGAACCTTCATCTCAAAAAACCAACAGGAAGCCTAAATCTCCATCTACGGGGAAGTGCTTAAGTAAATTATGGTGCTTGCATATGACGAAACATTCTATTACTATAAAAAAGAACGAGAAACCTCTGTATAGACTTATATTTAAAGAAGTATATGTATATGTTGAGTACAGGAAAAGCTGGGTACAGAACACTGTGTATATATAGTATGCTACCATCTGTTTAAAAAGGGGAAAATAACATATATTTATATGTGCATAAGATAAATCTGGAAGGAAATGCAAAATACTATTACAGTGGGTGTCTGCTGAGAATGGAACTCAGCGGGCTGGGGGGAATGGGAGCGGGAGACAGAATCTGACCACAGATATTTTTATGTATTTTTGGTTCTTGTGAACGAATTCCCTATTTTACAACCACAACCTCACTATTACCACGATAACAACACAACATGAGATATTCAGAGAAGAAAGGAGGAGTCTCATACACGAGTACGGTATTGCCACAGAGGTCTGATTAATGAAGAACAAGTCACCTGAAAAGATAATCAAAACGAAACTATAATCAATCATTTCACTGCTCAGAGGAGAAAGACATTCCATACTCACAAAGCCAGTGGGCAAGCATATGCATTTGTAAGACTCACTATGGAACCTTAAAATAGTTCTGCAATTTGCCACATCCTGAGACTCTGTCCTCAGACCAGCGGATCCCATCCCATCCACTTTCACAAGGTCCTACCTGCCCTTCTAATAGCAGAGGCTGTATCGTGACTTAATCCAGCCGATGTCAGGTCTGTAATAGAATCTGGGACCTGCTCTAGTCAGAACATCAGGATGAGAAAAGCAAGTGGTCTGTGGCGACGCTGAGGTCTTTTCCTAGGAACACAACCCTCTCAAACTCCCCACATCAGGTGGTTGCTTCATTCCCGGCAAAATTACGGAAGACAACAAGCGACGGCGAGCGCGCAGTGGGAGATGCTACTGAGGGACCAGAGGCAAGAGAGACCTGAGCAGAGAGGCTAGGAGCCAAGCGCGGAGGGAGGTGCATGACTTTAATTGACTTCAGTAATAGAATCAGAGCGACCCCCGCTTCTCCCTGAAAAGCTGGGGTGGGAAGAAAGACAAGGGGTATTTAAGGAATAAGTTGACCTTGTTGGGTACCCTCATTGATAGTTAAAGGCCACGCCAAACTGTGAGGGGCTCAAGCGCACCATGAAAAGCACCAGAAGAATGAAAAGCTAGTTGATTATCCGTGAGCAAGCGAGAAAGGGACGTCGGAAACCCTGGAGGCCATCTGTCATGCTTCATCCACCTGCAGACACCTCTCTACAAAACAAGGTTTTAGGGTGTCCCTTTGTCAGCTCTGGAGCTAAATTCCTAAGGAATAAAGAGACGGGCACAACTGTGGCTGGCAAGATCAAGATACGACAGGAAACAGACAAGGAGAAGGAAAACAACAGAAAGGGGATTAAATGTGTGTGGAAAGAGAGACTCACAGGATTGCAAACACTTATAGCACTGACTAGAGCCCAGACACATTTCCAAGTGTTTAATCCCCACAACAACCCTAAGAGATGGGAACTACTTGCATCCCCATTTTACAGATGAGTAAACCGAGGCACAGGAAAAGATCAAACAGCTGGTAAGAGGCCCATCCAGGAGTCGAACCTAAGAAAATCTAGCTCCGGAGCGCCTTAGAAAGCATTTGAGCTAGGCAGTTTTCTTTCCCTCTCTCTTTTTTTGGCTGTCTAGCATCTGTCTCATTCCAATAGGGCCTCATATCCCTTTTGTGGAATTCCCATTATGCAGTGGATATTGCCGCCTACCGGAGAAGGGGAAGGAGCCAGATCCACCCTCTCTGCGGGCAGATGATGAGGGGCTCAGGCCTCCTGAACGAGCATGTGGTCACTGAGAAGTTACCGTCATCACAATGGCAGCTGCAAAAGTCTTCTGGAGAGGCGATCCCCCAGCCTCCCGTCAAAGCCATCCCCCAAAATTTCCATTTCACTTAAGACAGCCACAGCCAGTTCTGGCCACCAAGAACCCATATCACCGAGCATCGGCTTTTGGGACAAAATGGATTTGGGAGTATTAGAAGCCAGTTCCCACAGACTTTCCACTCTTGGGCCACCTTCTGCAACTGACCAGGAAATAATGCTCCAGAATCCTGATTTGCTGAAGCAGCTTCTCCCCAAAATGTCTTATGAAGGCCATACCTCTTTTTACA